GAGCGCGCACCCCGGCTCCGCGGTGCGGGGCGGCCCGTTCGCTCTTTGCGAACCGCGCTGTCGTTCCTGCGGCAGCGAGAGGCGCCTGTGTGCGCGTCCTGTGCGGGTTTTGTTTGAGCAGGGGAATGGGTTACCGATCAGTAGCAGGGCGGTCAGCTCCACAATGTAATTGCGGTATAGATTGAGATCTTGTTCCTTTTCTTTTTCTTTTTTTTTTTTTTTTGGCATTTAGGAACAGCATTAGAAGAAAGTTTCAAGGAATACGGGAGAAATCGAGAAGCGATGCGACTTTGCCGAGAAGGTGAGTGCGATTCGTTCTTGAAGAAAAGTGCATGGAGAAGTTTTCCTACTTGTAATTAGTTGCTAGAGGACATCCATGGGAAAGAGAAAGGAAGCTTATCATCAACCCCATCATTTTGGATTTGGGACTTATGGCCTATCAGTGAGTTGATGTTATTAGCGTTGTTGTTAAATTAATATCTAATCAAAGCTGCAATATTAAACTTGGGTTACTTACTGAAGTATGTTTACCATGTTTCTAGTTGGATAGTTCGTTGGTCCTAAATAATCCTAAGGAAGTGGTCTGTGTGACCAGCACTAATAATTTCTTCTCTTGAACCCAAATATTTTGGTTCTGCGTCAGTATTTGAACACTGATCTCTGTTTCTCTGTCATGTTGTTGTGTTGTGCTTATTTCTTAATGTACTGCTATATGCTCTGACTAGCAAAAGCATGTTAAAACAGCCTGTTTTTTATTTTTTTCAATAGCAAAAATGCTATTTGAAGTCATAGCCAAACGACGGATGAAACCTATAAATTACTGGTAACTTTGTAATATGGAGTGGAGAAAACAGTAATGAGTCTGATTTGGATGATTAATTTTTTCCCCCCTTCCAATTTAATGGCTGTTTAATAACAGAGAAGTGTTCTAAAACTTTCTTAATAGCGTTGATATCAGTGCAGTTCTATCAGACTTACTGAAAATTATACCATAGAATAGTCCTCATAGTTTTAAATACTGGATCAGTTAGACCAGAATCATTTATGTGATACTGTTAAAAGTGGAAGACAGAGTTCATAAACTTTGTTTATGATCACAAAAAACAGGGCTTGCCAGGGACCTTAGGAGATTATCTGATTCAGCACTTCTCTACTTGTGAACTAGAAACAGCAAATGCAAATTAAAGCAAGTGGACATGGACTAGTAAGATTGGGAAGCACTGATCTATTTTGAGGCTGAATCAAAATGTGTATGTGTTGTAGGATTCCTAGTATTTCTACAGTATTTAAAAAAAAAAAAAAAAACCTAGGCAAACAGTTTTTGGGACCAGAATCAATAGTTACTGACCTGTAAGAGAGATGCCGTGGAATGCTGTGCTGTGGTATTCAGAAAGACACGCATCATTTTGCCACGTTCTAAATATATGTAAAAGTTCTTCGGCATTTTAAAAATTGCTATGTTATGTTATTGTCCAGTCTAAATCTGTGTTGGATGTTTTATTTATCTTTCTGAATAGACAAATCATTCAAAAGTTAAAACACCATTTATAACAGTGACAGAACTATTACGTATTGTGCTATGGAGACATCAGAAAGTATACGAGTTAGATACGTAAAGATTTTGCTAATAAGGATTTTCATGTTCTTTTTTATTCCTAACTCTTAAAATGCAACCATCTAAGGTTTCCAGATTTTTAAAGATTAGCTGTCAGGGTGAAGAATAATCTTTATTTCACTGAAGACAGATCAGGAAACTTTTTCTGCATAGACTGACCACTGAGATGCTGCTTTTCTCTGTTGAGTCCAGCCGTGTGAATGATTTGTAAGATTAGGACCTACCTGAAGAAAATTCATGAAATACTTTGAGAATTAAACTGAAGCCTAGTAGCTTTGTCAGGGTTCCAAAAGTCTTATTTATTTTGGTTGCGGTATGACATTTGAATCGGACACTAACTTAACATACATCTATAGTAGGTCTATAAGGAACTCGGCCTACAAAATAAAGGCAAAAAAAGTAGTCTTGATAAAGTTTGCACTTAAAAAAACCTAGAGGAGCAGTGAAATGTGCCAGCCTATATATATAAACATATATTTATATATATATGTATGTACGTCTACAGTGTTATCAAGTAAGACTTAAGTAAGACTTAAGAGAAGTCTTATCAAGTAAGACTTAAGAGAACAGTGTAACTGATCCTTTTGTCCAGGAAGAGTTTTGCATTCAAAACTGAGAAACAAACATTTATTAAATAATTGGACTCTATAAACAGTGGATTTTAACACAGAAAATAGGAAACAAAAGTATAAGTTTTGCCAAATCAATTCTACTCAATATTTTTATCGTAGTACCATACATTATATTGAAATTGGTGAACTACCCAACTCATCGTTTAAGAAAGTTCTTCATCCACAGATAGACCTCTCTAATTCAACTCCCAGACTTCGCAAAAGGATTTCAAGGTTATTTGGGCTAACTTAACCGTGTATTTCAACTCTCACAGTTTGCGTGAAAGAATTAAATATCCCTGACCTGGAAGGGGGAGAACTAGTGAACGCAGCATCACAGTCCACTTGTGAGAATTGGGTTAAGCCCAGAAATTGTTCTTTTTATTTAACAGTTGACACCTTTTAGATCAGGCTCCCACCAGCCTGTGTACCTACTAGGTTATAGGTGCTTCCTTTTCCGCACGCTCTTTCTGTGCTCCAGATCTTCTCATGGAACAGCTTCAGCATCAGTCTGTCTGATGGTGAAAGATGAATTTCAACCTTTAAGGTGTTAGAGTCCTCATCTACTGAGGAGTGACTGTTCTCACCCTGTTAACGCTATATTAAGAAAAGGGTTAGCATTACCAGCTTCTCCTTTTGTTATGTTTTAAAGCAAAAGAATTATAGCTGGTGGTCTCCTTAAAGGAAAAAAGGACATAAATACATAATTTCAGGAGAATGTTTGTAAGCTTTGAATAAAGGCAGGATTTCAGACACGCCTCTGTAACTGGCATTTCCTATTTGCTAATCAGGCAGCTCTTCTCTTGGCACCCTGGTTGTTGTGGACCATGACGAGGCCTATGTCAGAGCCGCTAGTTCCGTGAAGGGATCAAGAAACTAAAATGAGTTTGTTCTCTCAGTTTTTTTTCTGTGTCTAACCTTACTTGGCATACCCAAGCTCACACTGAACTAAGAAATAGAAACTGAATTTAGGCTTCTCGGACTCCGGGCGTTTCTCGTCGTACTTCCCTGTTTGTTTTTCACCGCCCTACTGTGTTTTCTACTCTGATAATCCAAAACATATAATTATTCCTGCTGAGATCCTTGAAGATCTTCACCAAAGTGAAGGAACTTAGTGGATGCTTTCCTATATGTTGCTTTTTAAGTCACTAACAGTCCATGCTGAGCTTTGATGTAGAAATTTGAACTGCAGGAATATGGTATGGGCCTGAGATACTTGACTTACTTTCAGTGTGAAAAACCCCTTGCATACGGGAATGAGAAATGGGCATTGTTCAACATGGGAAAATTTACATTTTAAAGTACCCTTTAAAATGTACTTTGTCTTTATGCACTGAAGTCTTCTTGTGTCAAACAGTGCTATCAATGGAAGACCATGTTAGAAGCAGTTGTACTTGAGTTACTTTCATATGTAGTTCATACGTTAGAATCTGTTCTAGTTCATCCAGTCATTTAATTACCTGCTGTTTATGAACCAACGAGAGGTTTGATTCTGCTACAACGTTTTTTTTCTATAATGAAGAAACTGTAGCGTGTTGCGTTATACTTTGTAAACGCATTTCAGAACAATAAGGCAGAAAATCTAGTCCCCTTCATTTATTTTTCTAATATTTTAAAATGCAGCTTTGCTGTAGTGCATCTTTCAAACTTGTTTGTGTGTCAGGAACATGTCACATTGAATACAGTCCATGTATTCACATATACTCAGTTCATCTTGCAGTAGATCTCAAAAGGACTTTGTGTCTATAGTATGTGATCTACTTTTGTTCAAAGTAAATGATTCTTAAGGTTAAACTTTGTTGTAATCAGTGCTTGAAAATTTTTTTTACCTCTAGCAAACAAGATGATTTTCAGGAGAATCTCACCAACTTCTCTAGAATTCCAGTTTGCTTTGTTTCTAGCCCATTATAGTTGTGACGATGATCTGGTAACAGAACTGTTTATAAGCACAGTTTGACAGGTTTCAACAGAATGAACTTGTGTCTTGCAAAATCTGATGGCAGGTTGGCTTATTTCAATCTGCAGATGTTTAGAGAAGCTGTGAGTAGAAATAGTAAGATGCCTGAGGCTAGTCACCAGGACTGGGGTCCCAAGAAACTCCAAACCAGTGCTCCCCATGCTAAATTTCTTGTTGCAACCACCTATTCTGTATATTGTTTTAAGTCCCCCAAATCCCCACAAACCTGAATTGGAGGGAGAGAGAGAGAGAGAGAGAGAAAGAAATAACATATTTGCTGTTAGGAAAGATGTTATCAATACCTTTCTATTAATATTCGTTAACGTGTGAAACCCTATTGAAGTGGTTGAGGGGAAAAAATCTGTTAGATTATTACATTGACTCATAAAATAATTTTCAAATAAGTGAAATGATTTTTAAAAAAAGGCTAAGGAAGCTATAGCATCTTGGAATAGAAAATAAAACTGAGGAGGAGAGGAGTGATTTTGTTAGACAGGTTAAAATTGTTTGCATGTACATGTTTTTGGTAACGTATTCGGGGCCTGCTGATGAAACCTTAGGATCTCTTTACTAACACTTGAGCATCCTATTCCTACTGTTACACATATATAATCCTATTCCTTTTATGCCCTTTGAGAAGGGGATCCCTTGGTACCTCCTTCCACCAAGTGCTTCGCTGTTGGTGGTTACCTTAGTTTATAGATGACTGGCAACTAAGTATAAAGGAAGAATGGAGCATTTGTAACCCAGCTCTTGATCTGACTTATGTCATTAAAACATTGTTGAACTCTTATGTCATGGCTAAGAAGAGGTCTTGGCCACGTTTATATATATAATCTGTGAAGTCTGCCAGTGGATTTGTTTTAGCTGTTTGAACTTGGTGCTTAGCAGAATCCTGAGGAAATTTCTGACTTCCCTGTGTATGTAACTGAGCTATTTCAGTTGAAAAGGTCCATTCAGCGGTTGTGTAGGGAGGTGCAGAGGAGACAATTGCTTTGTCTTAGGTTGAGGTTAGTTCATCAGTGTTTGCTGATGCGCTGGGTATGCTTGGGGGTGTTGCAGATCAGATCAGAACTGATGCTGGCTGTACGGTCTTGCAGCATGGTGACAGTGTTACA